GCCCAGGCTGGAGACAGGGAGAGGAAGTGGGGCTGTAAGGTGGTGGCGGGGGATTCAGATGCCACCGGCCTGCCGGCGGACTAACAGAGCAGCTCACCCCGCCCTGTGCCCTTCACCCTGCAGGCTCAGGAGGGGCCTGTCCCCAGAAGTCCCTGTCCAGGACTTCTGTGTGGGCCCTGAGCTGCCTGACTCAGCCTGTTGTCACCTATCTCCCCTTCAGCTGGGGGGGAGGAGGGGGCGGGTCTGTCTGGTTTGCATTCTGTCTCTGAGGCACAGCACAGGTCCCTAGTAAATATTTATTGAACAAACAAAATAGTAAGACCCCAGAGAGAGGGAAACACCAAGGGTTGGTGCTTTGAAAAAAATCACCAACCACGTAGCCCCTAGGGTGACCAGGGCAAGGCCAGACAAGCAGCCCCATCTGACAGGGAGGAACCCTTCATCTAGAATCCTCCGTCTAGGGGTACCCCATTCTCCGCAGGCATGCCCCCGAGCTGCAGGCAGAGCAGAACTAGAGAGAGCAATTCTGTCCCCACCGCAGATTGCCGAGTCTCCTAGGTGCCATCTGCCCCAGGCAGGCGGTCTCCCTGGAGTCTCAGCACAAAGGTCTCGCAGGGTCCCAGAGTGGATCTGCAGGGCTTCCGGGGAAATGAACAGATGGAGGAAGCCTGGGAGTGTGGGAACCCCTGCCAGGTCAGTAAAGGTCACAAGGATGGGGGACACCTGCTCCAGCAGACGAAGCAGCCAAAGAGAAGGTCCCTGCAGACTTGCAGACAGAGAGGCCTATCCTCGCCAGCGCGCCTGACCACAAGACTGTCCTCCAGCCAGGACTTCGGCGGAGGCTTTAATTATAGCTTGTTACTCGCGCGCCTTCCCCGGGAGACGGCCGAGGCCGAGTCGGACGACAAAGGAAATGAAACTCTCGCTTCAGATGGCTCGTCCTGTCTGTCAGGAAATTTCAAACTCACAAACAATATTATCCTGGACTGTGGCAGGGTGGTGCCTCCCCAGGACTCAGCCCGCTCCCCTGCTCTCTCAGGCCCTGCCAGGGCGCTCAGGCCTGTGGTGGGCACAGCAGCCTTTGCAAGAGGTCATTCCTCCCCTGTGCCAGCCAGGCAGGGGCTAGCTCAAGGTCACCCAGCAGAAAGTTGGTGGGTTTTGCTCTTGTGGACTCTTTCCCATTACTTCAAACATGTCCCAGAAAGGAACACCTATAGAAATAACAGGTTTTCTTTCTCATCATCTTCTGCTGGGAGCTATAGCAGGGCAGCTGCTATGAATTGGTTGTAATTATTATCCCCCCCCCTTTTTTAAAATACTGGAGCTTGAACACAGGGGCCCTCTACCATTGAGCTACATCCCCAGTCCCCTTTTTTATTTTTTATTTTGATATAGGGTCTCACTAAGTTGCTGAGGCCGGTCCTCCTGCCTCAGCCTCCTCAGTAGCTGGTATTTCAAGCTACCTGGCCCAGTTTATGTTCACTTTTCATAAGGAAAAACCGAGAATAGAGAGCTTGTTCAAGGTCACACAGCTAGAAACCAGAACTTGAACCCAGATGGCCCAATATCAGATCTTGTGCTCTTAGGCCCCTTAGTCTCCTTACTTGTTCCAGATAAAGAGGCAGGAAACCTAGAAGTCTACCCATTTGTCTCTGCCAAGGAGCACAGATTGCTTCTGGAAGACTTCAGCAAAGGGCATGCTATCCAGGGGCTCAGGGTCAGCTGTGAGCATCAGGGGCTGGGCCGTCTCCTGACATCTGCCCCCAGGCTGGCCTGCTAGGTGCTGAGAGCAGGGAGTGAGCACTGGCTGAGGCATCTCTGTAGCCCCTGGCCCAGGACTTGAGTTGGATATTCAGAACGAACCAAGGGGGTTAGAACAGGACATCAATCAGTTGGGGCAGGTGTGACCCAGAGGAGCAGGGCCATGCCTTTGAGACCCCTTTCCCATAGCAGGGCCCACACTCGCTGGAGTTGTTGCAGAACCAGATGAGAGTGAGCAGCTGTGAATGACCTGGAGGCATTTCCTCCTCCAGAGCAGGAGAGATCCAATATGGTGCTGACGGAAAGAACAGAGCATCCTTGTCCATTCTAGGTCTAGGAGTGAGAAGATGCAGTCTGGGTTCTGGCTCCCATTTAGCTATGAATGGAGCCTGGGCAGGCCCCTTCTCCCCTGGGAGAATCAGCTTCCTCATCTGGACAATGCAGGTGACCAGCCCTCTTTCAGGATGGTGAGGAGGAGGGAGCATGCAGTCTGCAGGCCTGAGTCCATGGGCACAGGCCTTCAGGGAGGTGCTGGGAGAGGAGGCGCTCTAGAGTCCCAGGGTTAGGGCTTAGCCTTTTAGTGAACCTGTGTCTCGGGTTGTGAACTGCACAAGAGCCTCTAAGGTCTTCAGTGCCTTAGTGGCACAGGAAGCTAGCTGGGCTGAAGTTGGTTATTTCCATTCACCTTGGTAGATGAGGCTCTGATAAACCCCACCAGGCTTGACTGGTGAACTAGTTTCCCCTCAGGACAGGTCTTGGCAGGAACAGAAAGTTCTGGGCGTTTCAGATGTCTCCTCCTCTGTTTGCCTTGCCAGAGGACTGGGGACTATTTCTCCACTATTCACTGTGAGAACCAGGTCTATTGATTGGGTCCCTTGGAGCTCCAACCTCTGAGGCTTGTCCACACTGAGCCCAGAGCAACTCACAAATTGCCGTTCAGGTTTACCCACCCCAGCACTGGCTTCCAGGGGTTCCCACTGGTGGGCTGTGATTCTTGGGATCTTCCTGTCTGTCTATTCAATTCGGAGATAGAAGTTTTCCCTGTGGCCTCAATTCTGGGATGCATCTAAGAAGAGTTGTTGGTTTCAGTTTGTTCAGTTCTTTGCATGTCCGGATGGAGTGACGGCTCCCAATCTCC